AAGGAAAGTTACGTATTTAAATTTACCGCTATAATTACATCACTCGTAATGTCTGTTCAGTTATGAGTAAAAAATTCTAAATGTATGAAAGGGGGAAAAAAACGATTAATTGAATTAAATATGCTTCATCTACAAATAAATTGTGTGCTTGATTCAACTTTTATGAGGAGCAGTCATACCTTTGCGCACACTAATAATAACATAAATAAACAAATTAATAAAAAGATCGACTGCTAGGATAAATTCTAATGAAAACGAGAAAGTTAGAGGTTTTATAGCGCTAAACAATATTTTAAAAGAGTAAAAAAAAAAAGAACGGATATGTTTATACTCCTGGCAGCGTGCCAACGAAGAATGAGAAAAATATTTAAAAAAAAAGAAAAAAACGGAATAAAAATTATCGTTTGCTAATATCTTAAAATAACTTGTAATGTAACATAACTTGAAACTTATTATTGTAAGAATTGTATTGCGTCATTGTAAAAAAAAGTTTATTTTAAAATTAGAATTTTTTTCCTTTTTTTTTTGGATAAAAAAGCTTTTTTACCAGGAAAACTCTTGCCAGGCCTACTGACCATCATCATAGCAGTATGGTTTCTTAAAATAAGCAATACGTCCATTTCTAAGAAAAAGAAATTTTTCTAAAAAGAAAATAGGAACCCACACAGCTGCAGGAGGGGTTGCATTCCCCGAGGAACTTCTTGGAAGATCACTTCAAGAGGAAATAGTAAAGAGGGGGGGGAGCTTTTCGGAATCTCATTTACCCATAGCTTTTGAGCTAGAGGGAAGACAAGTTGATTTCAAGAAAAGTATTACTAAGCGCGGGGAGACAGGTCAAAAAAATCCTTTCTTACAGGAAAGTGGTATCTTTTTGGAGGGGACACAACAGGGCGCATTTAATTATATCAGGGCAGGATAAAAGGAGTAAAGGGCAATAGGGCGGATATTTTATATCAAAAGGGCATACGGGGCGGGCCGCCCCGTAAACCCCGCTTAGAATGAACCCTGACTTAAATTTAAACAAATTAAATTCAATTTAGTACTAGTAAGTTTAAAGTTCTTCACAAAATATAAGCGAGTGTTACTTATTTGGGGCCGAAATGCCACTTGTGTTGGCGCCATGAAAATCAGATAGATTAATAAAATTTAGTATCCATAAAAATGATTGATGCGAACATAATTATTATGTGTAGAAACAAATTCACTGATTATTAATCTAGAACTATTTTTAATAAATAAATTGTTTTTTGTTTAAGTTTACCTTTAATTTTATACCATAAAAATTTTATAAAATTTATATATTGAACCCTGAATTTTGTCTTTTTATTAAAAAATTTTTTGTTAAGAAGATTTTGAGATGTTTTTATCTTTCATTTTTGCTGTTTTAATTATAGTGCGGAATTTTAACGGAGCATCTGATAGACATTAGTCTTTTATTCTCACTTTTTCCTGTATAGTAAAAACAGGTAACATAGAAAACTGTGATTTTCAATGTTAAAGTAATCTTTCAAGAACTAAGCATAATTTTTGTTTTCTTTTGCTTTTTTTCATTAATTTTTCTTTTTAAAAGACATTTTTTAGAGAGCATCTATAGCTGTTAGTCAGTTTTTTTACTCTTTACTCAATATCTATAATACAGCTAGGTTTCGATAAATTTTTTATAATGACTAAACTTACTTATGTATAAAAAATATTTATTAACGACTTTTTTCTTTTCGTAAAAAAATGTTATTCGCCAAATGTTATTCAGAACATTACTTACACTATTTTGTCTGGGCCATGACCTTTCACTAGGATCTATGTCAGAAACTTGGCTGTCTTGAGAATCTACACGACCAGCTAATGTTTTTTCAGAATCAGTCTGCAAAAAAAAAAAAAGTTTGTTAAGCTTGAATTTCCTGAAAAAATAAACAATATTTGGTAGATTCAAATTTTATTATAAAAACTAATGTAATTTTTTCATTAGTATTTTATACCAGCTCTACCAATATTAGTTGCAATTAATTCAATAAATAACATTAAGATAACAAAAGGGGAAGCAGTTGCTAAAAATCTTTTTTTCTTAATGGAAGTAAAATAATAGCACCAAATGTTTTTTTCTTTTCTTTATAAAGGTGGTCACAATTCGAAATTATAAGCAAAAATTTAGCCTTTGGAGATTAAAGTTCACCACCTTAATGTTGTATTCATCTAGGTGAAAAGATCCTTAAAAATTTTTAATGATCATTTTTTTAAAAAAATATAAACGATTTTTGGATTAAGTGGAAAAAGTTAGTAGAATTCTGCAGTTAGGGCCAGCCAAAAAAATTGAGAATATTATAATTTTAAATGTTGGGAAATGTCACAGGGCAATGACATGGAGACTGACGTTACACATTTTGATATGTTTCTGTCTTTTTAAATCTTTGTTACTGATAATATTTTATATATTTTTAAAAAAATTATATGGGACGTTTTTTAATAGCCTAATGCATATAAGAAAATTATATTATTATGCAAATAAGAAAAATAAACAAAAATATATTATGTAGAATAAAAAAATAAAATGTGACTGTCTTTACATAATAAGGACATGGAGTAAAACATATTTTGATTCTGAAATTCTCTTCCTGTAAACAATAATGGGATATCTTGTTAAAATTTATGTTAAAAAATACTTTATATTCAGAGAAAACATGGAAAGTACACCTGAAATGACATATAGAAAGTGACAGAGAAAAAGCTCTTGCAATTGATGTTAAAATTTTTATGTCTCTCCAGAATATTTAAAAAGGAAAAAAAAAGAGAAATTTGTAAATGGAGGGATGGTATTAAATTTTTATTATTTTTTTTTTGTTCTGTTATTTATTATAGCACGAATTGCTGTAAAAATAACTTTTACGTATTTTGAGTATTTTTTATCTTTTCAAATCATTATAACTTTCAGAGAGATTTTTTTAACGAAAAAAAAAAAAAAAAAACCCTCGCATTTTGTTTTGATATATATATATATATAACCCTGACTTAAATNTATATTAAATGATTGTTTCATACATAAAAAAAAAACTTACACTTCCAGAGCCAACTGTTTTGTCACTGTCATTTGATTTCTGTGTTTCAACCACTTCATTAATTACAAAAGGCTTTGTTTCTAAGATAATACCTTTTGTTGGGTCCACATCTGGAAAAATGAATTTAAATTAATACACTACATAAGAAGAAAAAAAAGTATATGAAAATCTGATGCAGCTATTAAAAAAATTCCATTTTTAGAATAAAATGTTTTATTAACTTAAACTGTAATTCATATTTATCATTACAATAGTTAGTAGTATTTAATATAAGGATCTAGAGAAATATTGTTTATGGTTAATTTAATTTCACTATGACACAGGAGATAGGTACTTAAAATTCAATTCAAGACTTTCATTTTTATCAATGATTAAATTTAAAATTTTTTAAGTAACAATTTAATCATGTAGCTTTTGAAACCAGAAAAATTCACAATTCTTCTGTATGAAGGTACTTTCTTTTTTTTCCCTTCTTAATTTAAATATATATGTATGAAAATATATATAGAAATTTAGCAACAAAAAAAAAAAAAAAAAAAAAAAAAAAAAAAAAAAAAGTACGTACAGGTGAAATTTTTAGGAAAGACAACCTTTATGTAGTGACCACCTCTATTTACAGCTAATTTTGGAAGGCATGAATTTTTTCCATATACAGTAGAGAACCAATTATACGGGATGCTCGGGACCATCGCTATCCCGGATGTCTGAATTTCCCGGTTTTCTGGATCGACCAAAAAGTGTCGTTAATCGATGTTTTATCGAACCCGAATTACAAGGAAAAAGTGTAATGCATAAAGTAAGAGAAAAAAGAAAGGTACTCTTAACTTTAAAAAGAAAAAAAAATGGTAAAAAAATAATATTTAAAAGAATAAAAAATTTGCAAGTTTAGACAAGAAAAACAAGATTGAAAAATACAAAATTCTCGTATTTATTTTCTAAAAATAATTACAATTCCTAAATTAACTAATATAAACAAAACCAAAGGTTAAATAACGCGATATATTTCATACCTAATTATACGGGGGAAACAATAAAATAAAAGGAAAACTTATTAACCTAAATAAAAACACTTGAAAAGTATCGAACCGAAACGATAGTTAAAAAAGGCACTAGCATAAATATTGAAACCCGGAACAAGGCAAGATCAACGGAATTAAAAAAAAAAACCTAATGATAACATTTATGAGTAAAAAGAATTAATTTATTAAGTGCGAAATTTATCGTGAAAAGAAAAAAAAAATCAAACGTAGTGGAATCAGAAAAACAAAACTGCAATCTGCTTCTTAAAATAATCCTATGTTTAAATTAATAAACAATTCTCCTCTTATTATTATTATTTTTTTTGTTGATAAAAACTCGATATTTAATTACAGCAGATGTGATTCCACATCAATAAAAACTTGCAAATGATACCGCACTTGAATTTATTCAGAAGAAAAAGATTTTATTTTTATTAATCGATGTCAAATAGATAAATATATTTTTCTTTTTCATCTTCTGTTCACTGATATGCATGCAATGCATTTCACCCCTCCCCCTCGTAAATTAAACAGAAAACGAAATCAGCATGCCACACCCCTGAGCTTGATTGACGGCCTAAAGGAGAAAATAAAACATTCCTCCCTTCCCTGCCTTCAAGGTCACGGAGGAAATGACGTTTCTCTGGGTAAACGGGGAAAAAAATTCTCCCCTTCCTTACATTTTCCTCTACTCAGCTTTAAGGATGAGTTCATTTCCGCTTTTTTTCATAATCGTTCTAGCTTAAAATGGCGGGAAAACCGATCAAAAATTTTCCCGGTTTTCTGGTTATCTGGATACCGGATAAATGGTTCTCTACTGTACTTTGAATTGAAGAAAAGCTTTAGGAGAGACCATCAAAACCTCTCCTAGCTACCTGGCAAACGCCTGCATCAAATGCAGAAAAAGTCATTCAAGGAAACACGAAAAAATATCAAAACAAAAAAGTAGATTAAAGTGTATTCTAAATAATTGCGTGAGACTCTTATTTAAAGAGCTCTTTTTAACAATACAACCTCATGTTGTAGAGTACATTAAAGACAATGCTATCAATAATTACTTTTAGAGCTGAAAGATAAATTAGAAGAAAAAAAAGTTATTTTGGAAAAAACAAGCATCTTAAACAAACCTCTTTTCAGCTTTTAAAGATAACTAATTTTTATGATATAAAATTAAATGCAAACTAAAACAAAAAAACATAATTGTTTATTTGTTTAAAATAGCTTAATCATTCATTATTGGTAAATATTTTTTGCACATAATGATATCAGTAAGGATCATTTTTATAGATGCTAAATTTAATTCATAGATCTGTCTTTTCATGACGTCAACAGAAGTGGCATTTCTGCATTAAGAAAATGACACTGATTAAAAATAAAATAGTTTGCGAAAATTCATGTACCTTTGATAACAATTTCAAAGACAATGCAGGTAACCTCTAAAAACGATCAACCTATAACCATTTTATTATGGAATGGAGAGTGGTCACCCCTCAGAGGTTTCACTGTATAAGCAATGTAATGATATTCTAAAACAACCATTACATATATGGTAAAAAAAAAGTAATTCTTACAGATAGTAAGGATGGAAAAGACGATGTTGTAGGAACAAAATATTGAAAGAAAAAAAATACACGTTTTTCTTCCTAATTGTAAGTGGGAAAAAAAGTCCTCTGCTTAATTGTTTTACATGTTAGCATAGTTTTAGCTATCAAGAAATTTTAGTATCTTCCCCTACTCTGTGTTATGACCAAAATGTAAGTTACAATATTAGACATTTCAATGAATTATCCTGTATTATATACTATCAAATTATTATATAGAATTAAAAAAAAAAAAAAAACATTTTTAATTTACTTCTCTAATCAGTTTGATATTTAGACCTATAGTAAATGAAAATTTGAAACACAAAGCATCTGGAAATTAATATTTGCATACAAATAGATATTGACAAAAAGTAAACTTTCACAATTTTTGGCTAAAGACTCCTCATTGTAGACATTTTCCTTACCAACAATTCCTGCAAATGCAAAATATCTAAATAAAGCACTTCTGTGTGTCTCAAGAGTAAGGTGCTTTTTTTGATTTACTATATTACTATTATTTAAACTAGGCTGAAATTACTGACTGTCTAAAAAATGGTTCTGTTATTGTTTCTTCCGCTTAGGATAGAAGAAATCTTTTGCTTCAGTAATTTTTTTTTTTCACTGAGAAAGAAATCTGCCACCCTAGTACCAAATAATATTCAAGGAAAAAAAATGACTTAGAGGTAAGAAAAAGGTACCTGGAAATTGAAACTGGTGAATTCTTGCAGCAGCAGGAGGTGTTTGTTGAGCAACACTGAGTAATGCAGGCGAAGAAGGAGCAGAAGAATTGCAAGAAGAGGTGTTAGATGAAGATTCAGGAGGAGGAAAGGCTGGAAGATTTATTAATTGCTGTTGATGTCTGGACCATTTACGTTCTTTAGAACTTTCACTTTTCAAGGCATTAGCCGGGCTTGCTACATGAGTTCTACCGAGCATGGGAGATCGATTTTCTATTTTTGCAATAACAATCAAATTACAAAATAATAGAAACAAAAACTTACAAATACATATATTAGAATAAATAATTAAAAAAATAATACCATCATTTTTCATAGTTTTGGCAAAAACATCAACTAATTCATTGGGCAGGCCACAAGATGGAGGCACTTTTTCAACACAATCTCTATGACAGCGATATCTGAAAATGTTTCCATTATAAGATTAATTATATATATATATATATATATATATNAAATATATATATATAAAAGCTGTTTCACAAAACTTTTCATAAAAGAAAAATATTGTTAATTTTATATGTTTTTAAAAATATAGGTAAGCACTTAAGTTTCTTCCACATTCAAAGATTTCGACTGTAATTTCAATAAAAAAATATTTAAGTACAACAGTCAGTACTGAAATTAAAAACTCAAAAAAGCTAATTTAATTTTTGAAATTCAAACATTTTTAAATATTAAAATAAGGAAAATATAGAAACAAGACACCTTTTATCATTAGATAAATATGTTGCAGACTATGACATATAGACTAACAAATCTGACATAAGTTTAATCATATTTTGTCATTATTTTTGTTATCTTTAAAAGGAAATTTGTAGGAAGGATTTTATTCAAATTTAGTTTCAATAAATCTTCTTTTTTTTCCCTAAAGAGTATTCTCTTACACAACCATTTTCCTAAAAAAAAAAAAAAAAAAAAAAAAAAAAAAAAAAAAAAAAAAAGGTAATAAAACAAATAGTAAAAAAACATTTTGATGAAAACCGACATTGAAACTTCATTAACATGAAAACTTCAGTTGCAATTGTAAAAATGCAGGGCAAATTTAGAGTCGGTTTGAAAAAAATAAGAATATCGCACAAATGCATAACTAGTTACTTAATTTAGTACAGATAATATATATAAATAAATTAAAAGAATACAAGAAATTATTGGCATATTTAAGTAAAAAGAAAGAGAAAATTAAAAACTTTCATTTACTTCTGAAGTTTACTCTAACTGTTATTATGAAAACAAACTTTTTAACTAATACACAATCAGATAATTGCGATTAGGAATAGTTACAGTCTGATACTCTTTAAATTCTAAGGTAAATTTTCTCCTGTGTCCATTTTCTTTAATTAATATTTTGGAATTATGACCATTTTCTTAAGCAAGTATTTTAAGGTGTGTTCAGAACAATAAGTTTACCTATAAAATACTATAATATTATTCGACTAACTATGCTAAAAAAAAAAAAAAATGATTCGAAATATTACATTTTCCTTACTGCAGTTTAAAACACAGGGTGCGAAATCAGATTTTTCAACAAAAAATAAGCACCTTTTAAGCAATCAAAAAATATTTTTAATCACTTTCTAAAAAAAATATATCATAATTAGGATTTGGGCAGTAATAAAAATTATTTTTTTTCTATTCTTAATTTATAAACATAAAATGAATAAAATTCAAAAACATTTTCGAGAACTTTACATAATCAAGATAAAAATAACTAGTTTCTGATATATATTGCAGAGAAAATTGTCGTAATTTAGAACAACAAACGATACGGCAAAGAAAAAAAAACCTCTTTTAAAAGATAGAAAATTAAGCACTTTTTACAAACCACAAATAAAAAAAAAAGCATCTTTAAGGGCTTTTAACCCTTTCGCGCCGACTGTCGCAGATACGTGGCAGCAAGAAATACACTCACATCTCGACCGACACGCAGGTGTGCCAGAGAGCGTTCTCATTCACCCCCGACCATCACTCATTTGTGCCAGTGTCCTGGAAAGTTTTAAGAAATAAAATTTCTGCCAGAAGATGGCATTGTGTGTCCATATGGTTTCAGATACAAGTAGATTTGACCTTCTACTCAAAATGAGAGTAGTATGACTCACATACAAGTGGTTTTTAAGGGGAAGGAATGGAGGAGAAAGAAATGCTTCATGACGGCTAAATTCGAGCGTGGTATTTGTTTACAGTCAGCAGGGGAGTTTTTTTTTTTCGCTACAGCGTTATGTATTTCGATTTCAGGCCCAGTTTTTAGTGCAATGTTAGTGTTTAAAATTTTTTATACGAAAAAAGAATTTTAAGTCATATATTTAGTTTTCAGATATATAACGTTAAAAGTTATTAAATGGTAAGTACATAATGAAATAAAATGTGTAAAATATATGTTTAACCAAGAAATGACTTAAGTAAATAAATATCTATAGAAATATATATAAAGCATAAGTCATTTAAATACTCTACAGAACATTATTAAACAACGTGTTGAAATTTAGGTTATTTCATGGATTTAGGCTTAACAGCAAAAACCCTCCGGCCCTGAACAGACACTCGCGAAAGAGACTGCAGGCCTCAGCAATAAGCGCACATTTGCACTTCCCGTCGCGAAAGGGTTAAAAGACGTAAATAAAAAATAAGCACCTTTAAAAAATGGTATGGAACCTGCAGTAAAATAAGAAAAAGAAAGCATAAAACTCCAGCAAATAACAAAATTTTTGTTAACTAACTTACTTGCATTCTTTACATTTAAAACCTAAAAACATAGCTTTATCACAGAAATGACAACTTGTAACCTTCAAAGTAGAGGTAAACCTAATAAAAAAAAGTTTACATTAGCATTAAATCTTAAGAGATCAGGGATGGTATTTCTATTCTTTTGGTGAAAAAATAAATAAAAATTTAAAAATGCTGTGTGCAAACTGCATTATAAATGACTTTACTTTTAGAAAGGAAAAGAAATGTATGTAGGAAGCACATATCAATAGAATGTTATAAATTTTTCAATAAATAATGATGCACGAATATAATTTCCGAGATGTGGAAGATAAAATCCCCTGAATGTGAATTGCAATGCGTAGTCTTAAACTGCGAATATAGTGCAATGCGTGAATTTCAATTTTAAATCATGTGAATACCAATATTGATGTAAGATTTTTAAATTAAGTGATTATGAATTGTGATGTGTAATTTTAAATAAAGTAAATACAGAACATGATGTATAATTTAAAAATTTTATGAATACTAAATGCAATGTGTGATTTTAAATAGCTTGAATGTTACTTCAAATCGCAGTTACATATTTATTAAACTGAAAACAAAAGTGGAATTCTAGTGAAATTCAATAAACACAAAAGTGAAATTCAATAAACATTAAAAAAAATCATCCCTGAGGAATGTAAGCTATAAATCTAAAAGCTAAAAATATCATTAAAATTGTTAATAGCTTACCGATGATGAATGACATGACCCATTCCATGAGGTCTCGGAGATCTTGGTGCAGCAACAGATGTGTCTATTTTAAACAGAAGATAAAATCCTTATGAATAGTTTTTAAAAAGGAGAAAATATTTTAAAATTTCAATCAGAGTTTGAGCTAGATTTAAAAATTTAGTAAAAAAAGCTAAAATCAGGAAAGAAGTTCAGCAAGATACTAACTTTACAACAAGAGTATCACATAACAAGATTTCTTTATAAAAAAAAATCAGTCATATATTTTTCCTTTTCATTTGCAAACTTTGCTTGTGGCAAATCATCATTTTTTCTCCTGCTCAAGAAATATTTTTCTACGTGTGCATAGATAGAAACAATAAAAAACATACAAAAGAAAACAGGCAACTAAGCAACCTCTTAAGAAATGATTTGAAGCACGCAAGTTGTAAGAAAAATATCTGACTTCATGCTGCAATGAAATTATGATGATGAAATCAGTGTTTGAGAGCAGAAGTTGTGTCTGACTCAGAATGAAAAGATAAACAGAATCTCTCTACAAGAAAACAAGTGTTTTTTCCTTTCTTTTTTTTTGTTAATTGGCCACTGTTTTTCTTGCAGAAGGTAGAATGACAAAATCTGGTTTCTTTCCGTTAATAAATTTTTAACCTCTTTCTTCATAGCAGAACTGATATCATCATCTTTGTTAATCATTATGCTTCAACCTAATCTAAGTCATAAATTTTTCACAAAAGCTTGTATATATGTATTTTTTTAAAGAGTAGAATCATTTAAAATGCCTTTGCAAAAATCTATTGTTACATTTTAGCATTTTTATTGATACTTTTCACACTTTGCAAAAAATGATGCCATAGCATAAACCCTGATTTTAACTCAATTATTTAAACAAATGTTTAGAAATATCCAGCAAAATTAAGAAGTCTTTAGCTTTCATTAAAATAAAGTTTAAAAATACCAAATTATCATCCAGAGATATGTTTAGTACATAGTAAAATATTACAAATATATAAATAAATGAATAAAATCATATTACATACACAAGAGCATGCAACAAAATAATATTGTACCTAAAAGAGCATTAGCTTTTAATTATTATGAGTATAATAGATGTTAATCAACCATAAAATAAATACTATTTCCTAGATTCCCAATAAATAATATCTAACTTAATTGATTTAAATTTCACATAAAAATTCTCAATTTGATGCAAACAAAGCAGTTCCTCTAAAATATTTTTATAAAAATGTTTTTAGTTAAAATCATGACTCTTAGGAGTAAAAAAAGTCAAAAGCAGAACTCTTGTATAGTTATTTTATACATCTATCTGTAATGGAAATTTGAAAAATAAAACCTCGAAATAGGTTGTTTATAGTAAAAGTGAGTTATCTCCTTGTAAATGAGTTTTGAAATGGTTTTAATAATATTAAATTTAAGTGTAGGAAAACAAATATGATAATAAGAGTAGATGTTTAAATGAGTATGCAACAAATACAACCAGTATTATTTAACATGGGAAGAATATTACTAAATTTCATGCAATTAGGGGTAAGGAAACACATTTTAATAGTAATGCATTACACAACTTTTACAATGAATAATCAACTAACTCATCTTTATTGACATGAAATAATGTAAGCTTAAATAAATTGTCTAAAATCTTTACTTTGATTTGATGTATCTTCAATGAAGCATCCATCAGTTTGTTGATCAGGACTAATAAAAGGAGGTGACTTGTTTGGAAATGACGGTAAAGGTGACATCGGTGCAAAGAAACCAGATGATTCTAATCCTGGCTCTGTAGCTAGCCTTCGACGAGGGACATTGTCGTTGGAACTGAAAAGAATAGTGGAATTTCAAGCAATCACGAAAACTATTTTTATTTACTATTTATTCCTTAAATATCAGAGGGTTCCGAAACAAAATTTCACATAACTTTGCATCCAATATTACAACAAAAAAACAATTTAATATTCAGATGACCCATTATTTCAACAAAAATAGTTACATTTCTCTATATCTATCTCATAACTTAAACTCACACTTATTATTATTATTACTAATTAAGACAAATAATTCTAGTAGACAATTTTTTAGGATTATCTAGAAAAGAAATAACAGTAGTTAAAAAACATAATTAAGTATCATCTGTGAAAGCATGTTGTACAATTATCTGATAATTTAATTACCAAAGTAGTCACAACAGGTTTTTTTCTTTATTAGTGGATTATCATGAAATTGCCACTCATAAACAGAAAGAGAAGTTACAAAAATAAGAAAAGGAAGACTTCTCCTGATAATGTAAATAAAAATATTAATTGAATGATTATCATGACAATTATTTAAATTATGACCTATGTTTGATTTTACAATTGGAAAAGAATACAGAAAATTATTGAAGAATTATTATTAATAAGTAATATTCATGAATTTTAAATTGCACATTTAATTAAAAAATATGTGAAAAGGAATTGTATGTATAATTTGTAATATTTTATTAGTTTTTGAATGTTCACTAAAGAATCTTCTTGTCATAAAACGTTTAAGTGAGTTAGCATATTAAATTTTGATAGCTAGCTCTTTTCTCATATTGATTTTGTTAATTTCACGACTTTTTTAAAATATAATTTATAAAATTTATTTCCTTCAACTGTAGTGTTGTGATATAAAAAATATAATTTTTCATAAAATTTACTCCATTATATGGGATTTGGTGAAAATTTAAATAGAGTATATGCAGGAATCGAGCCCTAAGGAATCCCTGGAGTCACACATTTTATTAGGGTAAACTTTATAATTAATAAATATACACTAATTAATAAAAAAAAGCACTACCTGGGTGCAACATTTTCTGCTTGCTCAATCCTATTGGCCAAGTGTTCTTCATGTGATTTACTCTTGGTAAGTGGATATATCTCAGGTAGAAGATTAGTCTGATGTTTTTTAATAGGAGGTGGTGTAGTGGGAAACTTTTTGCCCTCACTTTTTTTACCTGACATAGAAGGCGTAGGAGGTGGCGTGTATCTTTTGTCTCTAGGGGAAGGTGAATTTGGAGATAAAGTGGAGTTGAGAGTTGGTGACCAAGGGCCATGATGAGCTGAAGAAATGACAGATGATGATGAAGAGATGGATATGTGACCAAGATGATGCCCTCCATGGAGGCTGGAGCTCATATTAGTAGGGGGTGATTGAGGACCATGAGTAGGCGTACTCTTTAAAAGTTCTTCAGAGGGTACAGAAGATCTACCAACTCTGCGTTGATGGTGAGTACGTGGTGAGGAGCCAATGGTTGAATTGATATCCCAAGATTCCCAATGTAAATCCAAGTCCGTGGCATTGCTAATTTCTCCTCGAATTTGCCTTTCTAAAAAAATTTAAAAGTTATCTTTAATATTTACTAATTACAAGACTAATAAATTTTAATATTTTTAAAATATACTACTAAAAACCAAAAACAAATTAAAATTAATAAAAATCTAGAAAAAAATAAAACTAAGTATTTGGATGGATATAGCCTCATAAGGTTTTAGAATTGTTCTTTTGATTCTTTTTTCATTTTGCTGGGAAAAAGATATAAATAAATTATATAACCCCATAGAAATTTGATAATGTTAAAAACATAGGATTTTTATGAAAATATTGAATTCCAAAAATTTTGAAACACTGAATCCGATGGGTAACGCTATATGCCTGAGAACCATGCATATAATTGGTCGGCAGTCTGTAAGTTTTAACTACAGGGTAGTCGCTAACACTTAGAAAAGCCCCCTCTAACTCCAACGTTACCTCGAATTTTTTAGTTTTATAATCAAGCTACTACCCAGGCACTAGTTCTGAACACGTAAGTCAGGAATATCAGTACTACAAACTCAGTATAAGAATAATTGAAATATTTAATTTTGGGAGAATAATTTTATGTCTTTCATAATTTTTTTATAAAAAAATTTAATTCAACAAAAACAATTACCTTAAAAGCAATAAAATAAGCACAGTGATTTTAAGATGAATTAGTAACACTAAGAATTACACCATAAAAGATACTAAAAACATAATCAAGCATATAAGAAACTTCTCAGAACAAAAAATATTTTACATTATTTTAAGTCTTAAAGGGTAATATGCTATTTTTTTTCTAATTTAATAACATAAATAATTATTGAAATATATCAATTAGGTATGAAAAATGGTAATGTAAACAGTCATATATACAAAAACCTTAAATTCTATAATTTACAAATTCTCTGGTTATGAATTTAAGCTACAGCTTACATATTGACTTTAAACTTCAAGATACCTGTATAAGCTTTTAAGTTTCTAAGAGCAATTAACAGTCTCCTTTTCTCATCATCTGTAGCATCTGCAATGCGATTCTTTACCTCATGTTCAGGCAATTTTAAAAGAAGTTCCATATTGGAAATTTTTGTACTTATGTTCTGAAAAAAAAGTTAATAAAAACAAATTTAGATTTTTCCAAATATTGGCTGTCAAAATACAACTAATAACTTAGATTATTTACAAGAAATGTTAAAATAGCTAAAATTGTGATACAATTGAAATGAATAAGTAAATATATATTTCATTGCTAATATGCAATGGTTTAATGTAAGACAATGGTTAATGTATGGTACATTCTCCATTGTATTTTACATATTAATATTAAATTTAGTGACATCAAAAAGGAAATTATTTAAGAGAAAAAAAATACAAAGAAAACTACTAGTTTTATTTGAATGTAGGAAAATAATGCAAAACAGAAAAAAAAAAATGAACTTAAAAGGTAAAATAACTAAATAAACAACACATTTTTCTTAATGACATAGAAAATTACATTTGCGTAGGATTCAGAAACTGAAAAGATTACATTTTTAATCAAATGCTTCATACAAGCCAACATTGAGAAAATCAACACCACCATTTAAAATGTCCTATTTGCCGAAGAAAAAAAAATAACAATACATAACAGTGAAACTAAGAATAAGAAAATATGCCCATATCATGCAGTATAATTTTTAAAAATATTTTAAGCTTGATAATGGTACTGAAAATAGGAGCAAGTATAAATGACACTAAGGCTTATTTTCACAAAATTTATTAAAACTGATCATTTTAAGAAAAGAAAAAAGAAAAGTTATACTCTTTTAAAGTCAGCAACTAAGACATTTCTTAAATGGTGAAATTGCCAAAGAATGCTTATTTTTACTACTCTTTAACAGATAAAAAATTGAGAATGATTAACAGTTTTTAAGTACCATTACTACCTACCAACCCATAAGCAGAATATTTTCAAATGTTCTGCAACAGGACTTATTAATTTATACATATTTTCATTTATTAAAATACAGGATCATACACAGATACACTACATTATTTTTTAAACCAAGGCAAACATTCTTGATTTGTTACTTTTTCAATCACTTTTGAAGTACAAAATTTTGGTAATGACGATGATGAATTATTAATAAAATGCCTATGATATGAAGGTCCGAACACTAAGAGAATGTATGAGATTAGGGTTGGGGATTTTTCTGCAAAACTATCGGAGGCAGGTGGGCGGGGGATCACGGGAAAACGCTCTCACTTATTCAAGATACAAATTGTTCTGCAGGACTTAGTTTGTTCTGCGACGTACGTCACAGTTTTAGGCACTTTCTGCTTCTGGGCCTACCAATAAGAAAGAGTGAAAATTATTGGTTTTACAGACCCTGAGACAAAAATTATTGTAGACCTTTTTCAAGACATAAAGCCTCATTTTTACGTTTTGACAATATTTTTTTCAAAGTTGTAACTTATTCTTTAATTTTTTGCACATCAATTTTTAAAAAAACCTAATATTAGCTTTCATTTGTTTCACCAGTGTCTGATCTAAACTAAAGGTATACCTGTTTACATTAATTTAATTCATATACATAAAAAAATATCTGAAACTTTTTTAAAAAAAGCATTACACTTTTGTAAGGATAACCAGACCTTCTAGCATTTGTTTCCGTATGCCCCTTTCCTGAGTAAGCCCAAAACCAAATTGGCTGTACATAAATATTGCTATAAGGAGTAGGTAAAAATAAGCTAGCAATGTTTTTTTTTAGCTGGAAATTGACAGTAGTTCTGGCAATTTGTTTATTCCTGAAGCTATAAAATAAATAAAAACTTCTAAAATTAATTACTTACTTCCATGGACTCTGGACAAAGTCCAACAACCTGCAGCCAGTTCTGCAGACAAGGGAATTTTTTTAATTCTGGCAAGGATGCACTTTCGGGACATTTTCTTTTAGCAACTAACTGATTGCTGAATAGTTTAATAAGTTTACTCTGAAAAATAATACACAAACATTAAAATAAATTCATATAATGACAAATCAAGAAATAATTTTTAAAAAAATATCTACATATATTAATCTACACCAAACACTCTCAGAAAGTATTACAAATCTTATGATAGCGGTTACGATTAAGTTAAGTCCAGTCGCCGTACTCGAAGTCGGGTTGAATCAATACCCATTCCTTCGAAAAGATTTGATCATGTACACTTGGATCTCATCGGGCCGCTTCCGCAATCTAGAGGATTTCAATATTGTCTCACGTGCATAGACTGTTATACACGTTGGCCAGAAGTTATCCCAGTCACTGACATGTCAGCAACGACTATAGCATCAGCGTTTTTTACAGGCTGGATTGCCCGCTTTGGCATACCAACCTACATCACGACTGATAGAGGAACAAATTTTGAATCCTCACTGTTCCACAGCCTGACGAAATTGCTTGGAATTGAACGTTGCCGAACAACAAGTTTTCACCCTCAAAGCAATGGCCTGATAGAAAATTTTCATTGGGCACTCAAAGCCGCTTTGAAGTGCTATGCAACAACAGACTGGACAGATGCTCTACCAGTGGTTCTCCTCGGTTTGCATTCCACAGTTAAAGAAAGCATCGATGCAACCCAAGCTAAACTAGTTTATGGTGAAACATTAAACTTACCAGGTGATTTCTTGATTCCCACTCCAAATGATGATCCTCCACAAGAATTTGTCTGTAAATTAAGACGTCTATTCCAAGACTTAAGACCTCAACCGACGTCACACCATGATAAACGCCGAATTTTCATACATCCCGAACTTGAAACTTGTTCCCACGTATTCGTCCGTAGGGACTCAGTTCGAAAACCTCTACAACCTCCGTATGACGGACCATTTAAAGTCATACGGAAAAGTGAAAAACATTTCACCATCATGATACGTGAAAAAGAACAGACAATTTCTATTGACCGTCCCCAACCAGCATTTGGACTATTTCAATTCGAACCAAACACGATCCAAAATTTTCCCTCAAAAGAACCGAATCTACCAAAAGATTCTCCGGACAAACCTGCACAACGGACTAGATCAGGCCGTAGAGTTACCTTCCCCGATTGTTACGTATCAGTATCCTGATACTGGCGGGGGAGTGTGCGGCGACCAAACTTAACTTAATCGTAACCGCGACAGTTACGATTAGTAACTGTCTCTGTCATTCACCAGAAGAATCCTAACCGCCATTGTAGAATGACGCACTGCTCTTGTTTTCATATTTTCCCTTTTTACACTTAATAATTAAATGTAAAATACTAATTAAATGTAAACTCAATCTATTCATCTCCTGAACACAGCCAATCACCACATGATTAAAGCCGTTTAAATAATATAAACGTTAAGAATTACTTAATATATGAAGTTCAAAACCTCACATTTTCGTGACATTTAAGCATGGCTGTAACTATGCTGGAACAGTGACAGCTCTCAGCTCACTGAATATCGCCTTTGCTATGTGATTTTTAAAAAATACACAAATAAACAATAAATATTCCATTTCTAAGAAAACAAAATTTCTCTAGAGGGAAAAAATTATGGCCCCTTTATCACAAGTCCCTGTTCCTGCAAATAAATAAAAATAGTGTTCCTAATTTTTTGTTTGCACAGCAGTGTCTCATTTTCTACAAAAAAGTTTCCAAGTTAAACTTAAGATTCAAGCCAAGCTTTTAAAGTGGGTATGAAATTATTAGATTTTTGTTAAATATGGAGATAAATTTACAGTATACAAAATTTAATATAGTTAAACTTTTTTAAATATTTTGATGTTTTTAATTTTCTGCATCTAATTTATCACTTTCTGACTTTCTTTATTTGCACCGATTTCATCATAAATGTAAATGATTTTTTAAAAGGCAGTTATTGCTATACTTTATCATTTTGGAAATCCATTATCTTTATTACGATATTATTATGCAGTGAGAGTTTCAAATTGCACATTTAAATAATCACTCTTTGCGTTTCCCTATTTCATCATAGATCCAAGTGACATTTAAATTGCATTTATGACTACTAATTTCCATGTGGTTCCCGATATATTTATTACGACTCCCGAGTTATAAATTGCATCTAACTGATCACTTTTTGGTGTACTTTATTTGTGCCAATTTCATCTTTTTTCAAAGAAAAGAATTAATACATATTTACATGTGATTTTGAAAATCCGATATTTTTATTATGATGTTATTACGTCAAACAAATTTCAAATCGGCCATTTAAATAATAATTTTTTGACGTGTACTGATTTTTCCAATTTCATCATAAATCTAAGTGACGTTTGGATTGTTTTTTTGTTTTGTTTTTTAGTATTAATAACTACTAATTTTCAAGCTGTTCATACAATCTCGATACATTTATTACGATATTACTACTCGTGATTTATACATCGCGCATTGAATTGATAACTTTTGGTTGCATTTAATTTGTGCTGATAGCATTGTAAATCCAAGTTGCTTTTCAATGATTTTTTCGGAAGTTTCTGAGATACATTCTCACGTAGTTTAAAAAATTTTGACTTTTATTACGACATGCGAATTTCAAACCTTGTATTTCAATAATGACTAATTGGCACACTTGACTCTTGCTAATTTCGCAAATTTAAAGTTTTTTTTCTGTTATTGCAATTATTGAGATACATCTTTAATACAATTTATTTGTGCATACTTTATCGTAAATATAAGTTATTTTTTTCATGGTTACGGTAGCTTACACCATGGTATGTGGTACTTAGAATTCCGATATTTTTTCCGATTCGAATGTTTCATGCACCATGAAACATTCGAAAACTTGAGTAAAATTAGAGTTTTTAAATTGCTTATAATTTATTAAATTATTATTTTTAATAATTTAATAAATTATAAGCAATGTTTCTTAAAAATTTATTTATTAAATTTTTAAGAAATATTTCTTTAATCCAAAAGAAGTTCAAAATAAATGCTAATTCAAGGCTAAGCACATAAATAATTTATATATTGGTAAAAAAAAATTTTTCCCCACCGAGTAAAATTAAAACCCAGGTATTTTCAATTCTATTAAAGATGATGTATGCTTACCTTTTTTACTTATGAAATACTTTGTATGTACAATATAAATATAACTTTACCTTTTCTTTTAAAACAAATGAATGTTAAAACATCATCAATATTGTTACTAAGAAAAATATTATTCAATTTTAGTTTGTATAAAAAATGAATTGCTATAACACCCTTAATGCTAACAGGGTTGCCACTTAAATCTGCAAAAAAATTCCCTGTGTTTTCCCTGTACATATTATGCAGAATATATTAAGAGAAAACACCAATTACTGGGCTCTTGCGTGAGGAATTGTTGGGCTAACTATATTTATTAGTTTTAATTGCTGGAAAAATAGCTGAACATAATTAATGCTATAGTAAATGAAATAGTTTAGTATAGCTGAAATACCATGTTTAAATATCCCATAGATTACGTTTTGAGTAGTCACCATTTTATAAAAGACAAAAATACGAAATAAAATTTGCTGTATTTTCCCAGTTTGTAAAGAAAAAAAAAAAATCAAAATTCCCTGCACTTTTCCTGCTATTTTAGATGATTTTTAAATTCCCTGTATTTTCCAGGTTTTCCCTGTGGAGTGGCAACCTTGGCTAAGTTATCTTTTTCAGCAGTCTTTTTTGAAAAAGGTTGTGGTGAACTGATGAGATATTTTAAAGTACAACAACCATATTGGTGTTAAAACTTTGAATAAGAACTTACATTTAAAAGCAGCATAAAATTGGTAATTTGAAACATAATTAATATTCTATAACTTCATAAGTTAATAACAACTATTACTATTTATAAGGCAGTGATATAAAAACAGATATAATTCATCAAACAGTAGGTATTAAGAAGAATTGTAAGAAAAACTATAAAATGCGCAATTAACTAAAAAATATGACTTTTGAAAATATTGTAGGAATCTCAAAAATCTGATGCTCTTTAGTTATTGTTCAGAATTTTGTGAAATACTGAAGTATACTAAATTATACTGTTTCCTGAAACACTTCGTTTACACTTTCGAGAAATTTCTTTATTCACCCTAAGAAGAAAATATCTTACTGTCACCTAATCATATGTAAACAAACAATCGTCACTGATGAGTAAACTAAATATTAAAAGGCAACATAAAAAATTTATCCCAGTTAATAAAAAAATAAGCTTTTAAATAACGTTATTACCTTAAAATCAGTATTTTAAGGAAGTTAATCTCATAAATTTGTTTACACGCATGATTAACTATGTAGTTTATACAATCGTTAAATCTCATCAAAAACTACCTTTTTGTATTTTAAATAATCATCTGTGTTATGTTTACTATTAGACTTACTTCCAAAATTCTAATTTCTTGTTGAGTTAAATCAGCAGTAATAGCACACTGTGTCCGCAAACCATCAAGATGTTGTGCATTTATAACTATCAATGATTGAGCGGTAGTGCATGCTTCTATCGCTTTAAAAATACTGTCCTTTGTTTCATTGTCAGCCATGATTTCAGTCCCTTTTTTCTCTTATTAACAGACATCGGTGCATGATGACTGCAAACTGCAATTTGGAACAAATTACAGAGAATATATGAAATGTTTATTTCCATCCTTCTGACTGCTACTTACAGCCAGCCATGATGGAATACTTAATATGGCCATCCATAACATCCGTATGATGCCATTTTCTAGAAGTTAATTCTTTTTTGGAAAATAAAGGGTAAGAATACGTGTGCTTTTTTCTGCCCATTTTAAATATCTTTCAAAATAACTTATTCAAAATAATAGGTTCAAATAGTAGTGTGTTCCTGTTTTGAGCTCCAGTAAAAGAATATTGTGGTGCTCTAATTATATGTTCTATAGAAGATTTACTTTGACAAACACAAGTCACTCAAATATCAATCTTGCACAAAAAAGAACGCATTCGAAGAAAATAAATACTGAAACCTTCAACCCAATTTCTTTAAAAATGATGTTGATGAGAAGGATAAAATGAATGTCTGTTTTCCCACTACCCAAGTAGCACATAATATTAGATAACATCAGAAAATCGGCAAAATCTAACGTTATCTTGCACAACTTCTAATATTAGAAAGATACAAGAGGTCGCTGTTTGCTCTGCATTATATAATATTAGATTCTATGCAAGCTAATATTATCTAACGTTCGCCATAATATTACTTTGCGCTAGTTTTGATGCTATATAATATTAGATTTTGTATTTTCTGATATTATTTTGCACTGCTTTTTACTATTTTGGAGTAAGCAAGAGGAAGATATGGATGGTAGAATAATTCGGCGATATAATTTTACTTAATTTTCTGTATTGTTGTGAAGCAGTAAAACATAGAACAATAGTTTTATGTCATTCCATGCATTATTTACTTAGCAATACAGAAATACTAAATAAAATTATATTAGCGAATTCTGCTACCTTCCATTTTTCTCCTCCTTACTCCGAAGTATATCTTATGTTCAGCTGATTTTTTTTTAATATTTCAAACTTAATGAGGAAATATATTTTATTGCAACTTTTATTGATATTTTTTTCTTTTATTCATACAATGGGTTTTCTGACAAATTTTATATCATTAATAATTTTCAAGTCTTTAATTTTAAAATGTACTCTTTAATTTTAAAAAAAAAAAACTGGGCTTATTTTATCAAAATCTTAATTTAATTTGTTAGTTTGTAATATATATATTTTTTAAATGTGTAACTTGAGCCATTTGTAATTTCACAATTATCATTCATTATTTATATTCTGAAATTATATAATAAAAACCACACTATAAAATTATTAAGTTATATATTTACATTTGAACTGAGTGGAAATTTTAATATTAAAATTGTTCAATTTTTAAGTGGACATTTCTTGTAATAATTGGCACATATTCAAATTACTTACTTCAACAAATTTACACATATTTTTTCCCCCTTCTTTTTTTCACTGGAATTGCTAAATGGAGAAATACTTACGTAAATTTATTCTTTTAGTATTTGAAATTTTATTTAGCAAAACACCTAAAAACAAAATTCAAATGCAAGGTAGAAATTTTTCCAGGGAATGAAACCAGGAAAACAACTAATATCATAAAAATTGCTAATATTTTTTTATAATGTTAAAATAACTTTTATGGGCATATCAGAAATTTTAATCAATTCGATAATTATTCAAAGGTGTTCTATTAAACTAACAATCTTTGCAAAAAATTTACATAACATTTTAATTTCAAAACTGTCAGTAAATATTATGTGTTTTCTAATTTAAATTTGCACAAACACATAATTGCATACAAGAATGAGACAAAAAAATAATAAATTTTTTACATTATCTTTTAAAAGTTGCCTTTAGTATTAATGATCAAAATTTGACTATAATCAATTACTCTCTTGAGAAAGTTACTATAAGATTTTTGATTAAGACAATTCCATTCCTCGTTCTTCTCTGATTATATAGTATGCGTTATGAAGAATTAGTCTTTAAAAAAAACATATATTATGCATTTAAAAAAGTTGCTTTTGCAAAGAACCTTATATATAAAAATTTAAACAAGATTCTTCTCTAAGTTGATTTAAACTGTTTTTACAATAATGTAAGTAAATGCTCTGCTAAATTTTAAATATTAAGCCAAAGAAATTTTTTACTATTATCATTATTTTACAATCACATTATTTTAAACATCATAAAAATATATATAAGCTTCTTACCTCAAATTTGAACTGCAAAATTGAAGTAATAAAAACAATGGTAGTAGTATAATTGCTCATAAGTTAGAGTTAATGTTTAACAATGTTAAAATAAAATTGCTTCTGATATCTTCAAAATTTCTTGAATTTTCATAATACTTAGACATAACTATAATGACTAGAATAAATTACACAATGCAGTAGTTAAGAATAAAAAAATAAAATCATGACAAACATTTCACTACTTAATTATTTTATTTTAAAACAAAACACTATATAAATATAACTTCACTCAACTATTTTTTTTTAAATACAAGTTAAGAACACGTATTTGTAATTAAATAAAATTGTTTTTATTTCAAAAAGTAACAGTAGGACCATGAGTTATCATTTTAATTATTATTATTTTTAAATTAAAAAAAATTCCAAAACTTTAGTCATTTCATACAGTTTAAAGTTTTTCTTCAATTCAATTTTTTGTTTTTGTGCAACTGAACTATATTTCAGAGCAATAAACTGAAAATCTTTGCTTTATTGAAAGATTTTATAAAATGGTCGGCGACATTAATGCATATCACACAGCAGGGATGAATCGCACAGGGATGCACATTTCTTCAAACTTTCAGCTCCGGCAGATTTAAAGAGAACCTCCAGTCGTTTTGTTTTCTGTCAGGATCGAATATATGGCTCCCAGTTTTCTACCAGAATATCAATTTCCATTGTGCAGCATCCAATCTCAAAAATCAATGGCTCCTTTCTGGTAGATAAGCTTGTTTATCCAGCAGACGAAGCTAAAATTATAAGAGAAAAAAGTTAACTTCACATTTAAAACATTAAATTAGTTAAAGAAAATTTAAAACTATTAAGCATTGAATATTTCTTTAAAACTTAAATCATTTCATTTGAAAATGTTTACAATTTAATGGGTAGATTTCCGTAACAATACCTGCATCAAAAAATCTCAGTATCACCGAGCAAGAATTGAAAAATATTTCACTTATAACCGCTTTCAAATAATAATTTAATTCTTTCTTAATTATTATTTTTTTTAAAACAAAGAAGAAATTATAGTTCAGCACGCTTAAGCCCTTTTCAATTGAAGTGAATATTCAAGTATATATACAGATATAAAAATATATCAAATTCAATACTTTTTACTTTTTTTTTTAAAGATTAAGTACAATGACACTTAACTATTAAAATATTTTTGTACATTGTGTAAGCTCATAGAGCCAATAGGAAATGTTCACATTTTTTTAAAAAACTAACACCTAAAACTTTAACACCTTTTAAGCACTGTTCTTCATTTAACGTAAACATGCTTTGAATAAATCATATTATTGCTTATTTTTTAACTATTTGCTATCATTTATAAATTAATGTAATTAACCATATATCAAAAACATCTGTCTATATTCATGAAATGAAAATAAAGATATTTAACTCATCATTTCACAATATATAAAACAGGAAATTTAAATAATGTAACAGTGTTCGACTTGTGAATAAAATTTCAAACATTTTAAAAAGCAATGGTTTTAACTAAAAAGTAATTGATTAATTAATAATTATTTTAACATGGCAAACTTGTTTACTAAAAATTTATTTTTATCTTTATCATGCAATGAAAAAAAATTCGAACTGTAAAACTCTTTGTGACCAGTCAACAAAAAAAGTGTTAAATAAACAATTGCTTATTTTCCTCCATTGTTTATTTTAAAATTTGATTAATGTAAAAGAACATCAATGTAAAAAGATACTATGAGAATTCAAAATCATCAATTCATGGTTGAAAAAAATCATATAGGTAGAAGGAGAATTCTCTAACAATTCACATATTTCAAAGTTGTAAATATATATTAAATATAGTCAACATAGGAGATCAACTAAAAGAATTTAGCTCATAAGCACTCCCAAGCAAACTATCATACATTTAAAAAAAAAAAAATCAAATTGCAAAACCTTTAAACTTCTTCTATTAAACCAGAAAATAACTACTCGCTATGTGGCAAATCAACAAAAAGAGAGTCGAAAAATATTAAGTAAACAAATGCTTATTTTAAAAATCGTATAGGTCCATCAATGTAAAAAGATACTAAGAGAATTCAAAATCATCAATTTATGGTTGAAAAAAACATGTAGAAGGAGAATTCTTTAACAATTCACATACTTCAAAGTTGTAATATATATATATATTAATTATATTTTGCCCCCCCCCAAATATATTTACATAATGTTCTTTAAAAGCCAATATGCATAATATTTATTTTTTATTGTTTAGTTAAATTTTTAATCTCAGATTTATCATTTAATCTCTACCTATCATTGAAATTTATAAAGTTTACTAAAAATTACTGAATCATAAATACCTTTGAAGTTAAAATTTCATTCTCCGACAAACTTTAAGAGCACCGGTAGCATTTCCAAACCAGTTGTTTTGTTTTCTGTACGGATCGAACTTAAAGCTCTCAGTTTTCTACCTCATTTCAATTTGCAGAGTCCAACAGTCAATCTCAAAATACCTTCCTGGTAGATAAGCTTCTAAATCTAGCAGACGAAGCTAAAATTATAAGAGAAAAAGTTAAACTACACATTGAAAACATTAAATTTAAAACTATTAAGAATTGAATATTTCTTTAAAACTTAAAGCATTTAATTTGAAAATGTCTAAAATTTAATGGGTAGATATCCATAACAATACCTGCACCAAAAAATATCATTATCACCAAGCAAAGTGCCGAAAAATATTTCATTTATAAACACTCTCAAGTAATAATTTCATTCTTTTTTTGTAAAAAAAAAGAGGAAATTATAGTATAAAACCCTTAGGCTCTTTTTATTGGAAGTGAATATTCAAGTATATATACAGGTACAAAAATATATCAAATTTAATAACTTTTTAATTTTTTTAAAAGATAAAGTACAATGACACTTAACTATCAAAATATTTTTGTACATTGCATAAGCTCATAGAGCCAATAGGAAATGTTCACACTTTTATTAAAAACTTCCTAAAGAAAAATTTTAATACCTTTTCTGCACTGATCTTCATTTAACGTAAACACACTTTGATTAGACTACATTGTTGCTTATTTTTTAACCATTTGCTATGATTCATAAATTAATATAACTAATCATGTATCAAAATCATGCAAATCTGTCTATATTCAAGAAAGGAAAATAACTTATTATTTTACAATATATTAAACAGGAAATTTAAATAATGTAACAACAGTGTTCCTCATATGAATAAAATTTCGAACATTCTAAAATGTAATGGTTTTAACTGAAAAGTAGCCGGTTAATTAATAATTATTTTAACATTGCAAACTTGTTTACTAAAAATTTAATTTTACCTTTATCAATGTTGCAGTGAAATTCAGAACCAAGTAGTTTTTAAGAACCTGTTCTAAACTTACTATTTATAATCAGACAATACGTAGTAAAAGAATAGTTAACAATTACTTGCGAACATTATCAAAAATGAGCACAATTGTAATATTTACTGAATTCTTGAATGTTTTGATGAAGTGCTCAAAATTATAAGTACCTGCAGTGAATGTTTCTACAGGAAAAACACTACCTACGATACTACTTTAACGTTTTATGTATCTATCATTGAAATTTATAAAGTTTACTAAAAAATTACTAAATTATAAATACCTTTGAAGTTAAAAATTTCATTCAAACTGATTACCACAATCAATGGCGGCGGCGGCGGCGGCGGCGGCGTCGTATGTTACGAGAAGACATTATTGCGTGTATGTTACGACGACGTTATTCGTGAAGACACTGTGGTAAAACATTACCTACGATACTACTTTAAAGTTTTATTTATCTATAACTGAAATTTATAAAGTTTACTAGAAAATTACTAAATTATAAATACCTTTAAAGTTAAAAATTTCATTCTCGCTGACCCTCCATGAGAATGGCGGCGACTGAACCATGGAGTTGAACCAAAGATTGTATAAGTATAAAGATGGGAAACTCGCGAAAGTCGTAACAAAATTTGGCACAATGCCAGCGCTTCAATGCCAACATTCATAAATCGAAAAAGAAAAATTAAGTTAAAAACGCATAAACCTTGGACCAATTTTGCGTTACATTACAAAATGTTGTAACCTGAAGGAACAGGTACCTTGCATTTTTTTTAATTTATATACACAGAATGTTAAATTCAAATAGCTTAGAAAATGTGTCCCTTAATGTAATATTTTTCGTACCAATACTGTAAAATAGATAAATGAAACAAAATTTTAAAATTTCTGGAAAAATCGGTCAAATATACATCAGATTCCGACCATTGTCTAGCAAGTTAATTGCACCTAATCTAATATAAAAGCTTTAAGTCACATTTTTATCTAGTGATTTTAAGGTTGATTTCTTTTTTTTTTATTTGCCAAATGAATTTTGAAACGCCAGTTTCAAAAATATCATTTCTTTTGGCACCATTGAATCCTAGACACCAAGAAATCTTCAATCGCTTATTGAGAACTGATGGCCAACATGCTCTCTTTTTACTCATTATTTTAAAATTATTTTTTTACTTTTTTTTCATACATATATTTGAATTAAATTTTTAATCCTTTTTAAGCATTTTCTACTATTTTTGTTGAAGTAATGTTGTTGTTGTTGTTGATTTACGTCGCACTAGAGCTGCACAATGGGCTATTGGCGACGGTCTGGGAAACATCCCTGAGGATGATCCGAAGACATGCCATCACAATTTTGATCCTCTGCAGAGGGGATGGCACCCCCGCTTTGGCAGCTCGATGTCCTGCACGCGAAGTCGAGCACTTTACGGTAGCACAGTTTAACGAGGACCAATACCGCACACCCTCGGTCCCTAAGCAGACTGATCCAAGTGGTCACCCACCCGCACACTGACCGTAGTCAGTGATGCTTGACTTCGGTGATCTGCTGGGAACCGTGTCTTAACGATCAGTCCACTGCGGGACCTGAATTAGAGGAGAATAATAGATAATAGAGGAGCCTTAGTATAAATAAGTGCATTCGTATCACCCAGAGGAAATTATAAATGCCTCTTATTGTGCTGCTATATGATGCTAATATAGATAACCATCGTCAGAATTAAGGTGAAAGATGAATCAAGAGAATGTAGGGTTCATGAGCAACTAAGAGTGCTCAATTTATAAGAATTCGGCCTGTCAGATACTGTTCAGTTGGAATTGAGAAATATTTTTACGAGTTACAAAGCATGTATCAAAGATTTTTTTTTTTAACAGATTCAACGTTGCACCCTTTTTTAGAAAATGAACTAAAAGTATTCTCTTTTCTAAAGTACCTTCTTACTGATATCGGTTTTATAGACCAGTAACGGAGGAAAACGTTTTCGTGCTCCGATCGGTACTGTAAACGGCGTCCTTAAAACTCGATTAAAAAGAAGAAAAAAAAATCTGAATTAGAAAAAAAAAAAAAAAAAAAAAAAAAAACAANAAAAAAAAAAAAAAAAAAAAAAAATTGAACACGGTGTAGTTATAACGCAGTAGAAAGTTTTATTCTATTCTATACTTTCTTTTCTTCTATATCAATCTTAAATGCTCATTTAAGAAACTTATGAACAAGATAAATAACAATTAACGCATTCAAGGTTAGAAAAGAAAGTCGTTAGTTTAATTAAAGATGACATCACCTCAAGTGTTCTAGAACAAACATTTATTATAGGATATATTTCAATTGAGCAAAATCTTACATGACATACAGACCTATAAGCATGCACATTACAATTTATTTTTTCATGTTATATCAGTGGCAAATAAAGTTTTATAAAATCTTTAAAATCAATATTTTTGTGGTTTCATTTACGATAGAAATTACTGTAGTGTTTTGCAATTCAATATCTCGTCATTTTGTTAAAAATTATTTTAAGAAACGAAAAGTTGTTGAAGGGATTAAATTATCGACTATGTCAACCTTCATATATCAAAATGTACCTCTAGGTAGATGGAATCAAGTTAACATGTCTTATATACTAGTGAATTGGTATTTTAATATTTATAGTGGTAGCTACACCGCATAACTCCCTTTCCAGAATATTATGCTGTTTATATCAATTTTGCTCATTACTTTTTTTTGCTCCAATATTGTTTATTGACCGGGAGAGACTTTATTTACCTCACCAGATTTTTTTTTCTTTGAGCAGTATATTTTTAAGCAAATGAACTGTAACTTAGACCATCCATCAATGTTGGCAAACGTTTACGCAAAGACCATATTCTTCTAGTCTAGAGAATAAAGCCTTTAAATGTTTGAAGTGCTCATCTGGACCTTTTGATACTATAAGAATATCGTCTACAAAAGCATAAACGTTTGTTAAGTCACGAGTAACTCCATCGATAAACCTTTGAAAAGTAGCACTAGCATTGCATAACCCAAATTGCATCATCAAACTCTCATACAAGTCGAATGCGGGTGCATATCGCAGTCTTTTGAACGCCTCCAGGATTTATGCAAATCTGATGATAGTCTTTGACACGGTCGATTAGACTAAATATCTTCGAGTCATGTAAATTTGCAGTAAAATCAGCGATACAAGGAGTTGGATATTTGTCTTGAACTGTTTGTGCATTCAAAGCACGGTAATCACCAATTGGTTTCCATTCTAACGATCCTTCTTTAGGTATCATATGAAGAGGTGAAACATAGTTGCTACTAGATGGTCTTATATGCCATAAATGCATCTTGTTTTCAAATTCAGATTTGAAAATTTTTAGCTTATCAGGAGCTAAGCTACGTGGCTTTGCCACTAACGGAGGTCCTTTAGTTATAATGTAATGTACAGTATTATGTTTGACAGGTTTATTGAGATCGATTAAATTTGTTATAGATGCATATTCTTTTAGGAGATCAAAGTATAGATTATCTTTAGAAATTGTTTTAACTGTATGCAGTTCCATTTGCTATAAATGACCAGGAGTTTTTAACTTAGTTTTTAAGTATCTGATACATTTATTTCTAAGGTCAGGCATCAATTCAAAACTATGGAGAAAATCAGCTCCGAGAATTTGTGTATTTACATTGGAAACTAAAAATTTCCACTTAAACTGCCTTCTTAACCCGAAATATGAAGTTAAAGTACAGCATAAACGTTAATTGTTGAGGAATTTGCTGCAATAAGCGTCTGTTGGGGTGGCTTACGTTTTTGAAATTTATTTGCATATAAAATGGAAACGTCACTGCCTGTGTCTACCAAAAAGGAAACATTTGTTTTTCGGTCTCTAATGAACAGGCGACGTGAAATTTGCGGCAAAGAATAGGTCGCCTCTACTCTTTGCTGACAAGCTTGTTCTTCCCAAGAATAGTAATTCTTAAATGTTTTCGCGAACCGATTAGCAAAATTGTGATTTTTGAATTAGAGTTTTAAGTATTTTCAAATTTCCCCTCTTTTGGCCTATTGAGACAGTATAGGTGATATAAAGTTACTTATATTCAATAAGCCCTTCTTAATGACGGTAGTTGACAACGTATCCGCTCTAAGAAAATAATAAAAAGAGACTAACTTTTCACTCCGTCTCCCTGCTCTGTAGTAGGTCTAAAGTTGTAGAACTTTTTTTTTTAATATTACTAGCTCACATATACCATTGTCCTAATTTCAGCAAAGATATTAAAAAAGGAAAAACTTGGCACTAATTTTTTTTTAATCACAGTTATCTACATTTATTGAAATTGTGCCAAAAATTTGCGAATCTCTGCATTTGGAATAATTCATGACAGGATTAAAATTAAAGTAGGGTAAACTTGTACAAGAGTTTGAAACTAAAGCTACCGCATAATTAAAAGCCCAAGGAAACTAAATCTGCACTAAATCGAATGTAAAAATAAAGATCCAATCAAATTGATCCACAAATTCTACATCACAAAAGCTTCCGAGGGGATAATTTAAAAGATTTTTATGAAGCGATTTTTTTTTATAAAACTTATTTTTTTTAAAATATGTATTTTCAGCATATGTTTTGTATGCAATTTCATATGTACTTTCAGTTTATGTTGCATCATGTTCAGATTTTATATGTTATATCGCACTCAGAAATACATTTTCGATACTGTTCGCGAAATATTCACTAAATTATCAAATCAAAAGTAACAATGGAAAAATGTTATGTGGAAATAAGGTAAAACTATGTTCTGTTTCCCTGAAATAAAATTTTATCAGTAGTCTTTTTTAAATTGAAAGAAATAGAGCAAGAGATAAAATTCAACAATATTTATTAAAATGTAACAAATGTTTAATAAACGAGCTGCAAACAATAACAATGCAGTTTGGAAGGCTTCAGTCCGGTGCAAAAAAAAGTTCAGTTTTAAAAACATGGTCCAGCCATATTAACAATAAATGAAGTTATGTGGTATGAATTTTGAACCTGTAAAAACAAAATTCAGATTTCAACAAAAGTCACATAAGATTTTACTTCAGATTTTTTTAGAAAAAAGATTATAAAATTTGATAAAATATAATGATGCATATACACTGTAGTGTTAAACGAGTAAATTTAATGATTACAATTCTACCTGTTAAAAGATTGTGATTAAGAGTCTTTCTCACTGCGTCCGATCGCACGCACATAGCCAGCAGGTGTATACTTCACACACAACAGTTTAGATGGAAAAAACAAATGATAATAATTACCCTGTCTCCGTACTACGTTTCCCAACCGCACAACCATGCTTACACTTTTTCGGCTTTGAAAACACTGGGAATATTAGAATGGATTCCGAGCCATTAAAACAAGACAGGAGAAAGTGTAGCAAAATCAGACACCCAACCTTTGGCTGTAATCTCAACTTCTGTAGGTTAAGCTTTAGCACGAAGAATCAACACCATGGTAATCCCAACCTTAGCCCAAACCCGTGGTGAACTCCGACGAAACCTATCACACTAGCGTGGTGGTCTTTAGAAATAACTTAAAAATAGGATACTTTTGAAATTTTATCTCCAACCTGATGTGACACAGACAGAGTCTAATGCACCGTTGAGTTTAAGCACGTCTATGGCAAACAGAGAAGACTATAACTGAGTTCAAGATATGTCTGGCAGTGGCCTGATAAATTTGTCATTTAGGACAATTGGGAAAGGTTTTCACTCCACCAGAGAATTTCAGACATTTCAGGTGACCACTAGAGAGGTGCGATAGGCAAAATTGGCAGATCCCGAAAAAGGGAAAGGAATCTTGGTTCTATTTTTTAAAATTCTATTACTTAAGTTATTCGACTGATTTTGTTCTAACTTCTCATTTTGTCTTTGAAAAATACGTAATTTAAAATGTAAAATTCATTGTAACTCTTTTTCCCGAAAATTAAACTAAATTATTAGAATTATTTTTACATTGATCTTTGGATAATTTAGATTTTTAATTTGGTATCACGTTTGTTAGATTTGCTTAGTTTAATATATGGGAGAGTATGCAAAGTGATATTAGCATTCAGAAAACAATTTTCTGCCGATTTCTTGACTAAATCCTTGGGTTTCTTTATCCAGATTACGGCTACTTAATATTTTGATAGCTACAGATAGATTCATAAAAAAGTAAGTTTATTCAGAAAAAGTACGTTTTCTTGTCTGATTTTGAAATTATAAGTATTGTCTGCACAATTTAGTATATTAAGTGCTGTGGAAAATATGGGGCAATCTGTGTAGATTGAAATAGATTTCTATTGAGGGCAAGAATCAGATTACAAGGAATATAATGCTTCATGTAACAATCGCAGACAAATTATCAAATCGTTTCCCTACACTTCGGATATCGATTGAACAACAAAATTTCGTGTCTTCGTGCGGAAACTTTTAGAGTCAAATGCTTCTGAAAAATTGGATTAAAAAATTCTGATTAAATTGTGAAAACAAAATAAGCTTCAGGCGATGAAAAAAGGATGTTACTCAGAATAAAGCTTATTACTTCGTAAGAAATGAGCTGAAGCTGCGAAATAAAGTCTTATTCAAGTAATTTTTAAGCAAAATAAAAACATATTGAATATTTCGACACAGAGACAGGCCAAAGCAGACAATCTCCCCCGACCTGTCTGATCATAAGCTAATTCAAAAAGTAAGTATTCGATCAATTTCGGAGTACAGCAGAGATTATACGAGTGGTATTGATAAAGGACACAGCCAAAAATTAAGCAGATTCAGTAAATCCCACGATCTCATTAACATTTAAATAATTTGGATGTAGATTTTGAGTCAAAAAGTTCATTGGAAATCAAAGTTTATCTAATAGCGTATATGTCAATGTTTAATATGGTTGAAGAAAGGTTAAAATTAGATTTTGTTACTTGGTAGAAGTGACAATGAATAATAATAGTTATACACTTGCATTGAAATAAAAAGTTAGCAGTTACATTTATTAAGAACAGAAATATTTGCGTTCACTCTTTATAAAATTTAATTAATATTAACTGATTATTTAAAGGATTAGGAAGAAAAAAATTTAAATTTATGAAATAAAGGAAACTTAAAAGCAAGAAAATATGTAATGAATACTATGGCATCACTTTAAGGATAGTCCTTTGAATCATTACGAATGCTTCTTAGTTCGTGAAAATCTGATCATTAGATTAAAAGTTAGTTCTATTTGTTTTATTTTACACTCAGTACATTAAAAATTTATTAGCGGTTAACTTTAATACTCAATTAAATTACGAAAAATCTAACATAAAATATTCCCAAGTTCTTTAAATAGACTCAAATATCCATAATTCATTTTTACCTTTTATTAAACCTTTGTAGAGAACTGATGTAACTGTTCCATCTGTTTCGAGGTCTTGCTGTCCAACTGCTAAATAAATATCATTCTCTAATACGAATGCTTTGACATTCTTTATACATTTTCCATGTAAAGTGAAGGCTTCTTTCAATCCAGATTCTCCTTCTAACCTGAAGATCTGGATGACTGTTTCGTTCCACGTAACCATGTAAAGTTCAGGCAGATCTCCAAATTCAAACAGATCCAAACCTTTAGCATCTTCGAACGGTACTTTTTGAAACAAGGTGAAAAATAATTCATCAGGTCCTGAATTTCTGTAAATCTGGAACAAAAACATTTAAGCGTAAGTCTAACACTATAGATGCAGTAGAATGCACACAACTCTTAGAAGGCAAAAATACAAACTAAAACGTCTTTTTAGTGTTAACCATATCAAGACTTCGTAAGAGTATGTTATACCATGGTTCACGGCAAATTCTTTTTCATCTACATAAGTGTAGAAAAAATTAATTTAGGTAAACCTAGAGTAAGTGCTTTCTTTGATATTTTGAAAATATTCTTCAGTATTTGAAACTTCATGGTTTACTTGAACTAAATTCTCGAAATTTTGAAGTTTTTATACGCTTATTAAGGTGAGACAGAATACTACTAGAAAAGTTGAAATTATCACTTTAGTGGAATGTATAATAAAGAATTCCAACTTAGAAGAAAGGAAGAGAAGCTAATCTAAAACTGTAAGGACAAAAAAAAAGAGGGGGGGGGGGATAAATTACTGGGGAGATTAAGTTCGAAATAAAATCACTTACTCTAATACTCCGAGCAATAGATAAAATTGAGAATATTTTTTAGTTTAAAATATTGTCCTTGTTTATAAAAATGACTTCTCTAAAATATAAAGTTACTTTATTTCTCCTGCTACCTTATTATTTTCTAGTTTTACCTTTTTTTAAAAATCTCCACCTCTTACTTCGGTCGCTTCTGTTTTTGTATCGAATCTTGTTTTTCCCCATGTTTATTGAATTAATTCTTATACTAAATAATTTTTCTTAAATAAATTATGTTGATTTCTGGGACAATGCAGTTTTGCTACTAGCCGCAGTAAGTACTGAAATTTTTTTTTGTCAAAATTAGCGGCATAGTTTTATTATTGAAAATATTGATAGTTTGGGTTCTTATAACAATTCAGGAAATAGCCAAATGAATTTCCAATTTTTTTAATATTTTATGTTTCTCAATTTTTGTGTCGTCACTTAGCTACGACGCATAATTTGTGAACCATTATGGTAGGATATTAAGGGCAATGGAGGCCGAGGGTGACATGCTCATTTTTATTATTATACTTAATTGAAATTGAATATTTTCATATCGAACTGATAACAGCTTACAATCAAATACAAGGTCGAAAAAAACTAAGTGTTTTGCTACCTATTGCAATCTGAAGAGTTTTTACTCAAGTAAAAATGTAACTAAATATTCATGTAGGAAATCTAGAAAATTTATTAAATATCAAAGATAACAATCTTTTCACAAAATTAACATATTTAACGAGACTGATGCTATAGATAGATTTTTGTATTTAAAAGCTTAAATCAGGATCCAACAAAAAGATACAGCCAAATTATTTGCTTGTTTAAACCTATTCCTGCGAAGTTCTACTCTTTTTTAAAAGCAGAATTTATTCACTGTCAAGTGAAATTCTCTGCTATACCTTCTCATCACTGTGTAGTGAAATTCTCTGGATTAATCAATTTGAATTTATAAATGATAAATTCCGGGAAGAAGCTATTAAATATTGTTCTTTATTCACATATTCATTTGAATAATAAGGACAATAAACCAAAGAAACAGATTAAGTAATGTCTAACTAAAAAAATAGACTCCACTTGTCTGGAGCACTGTCTGTGGCTGTTTTCTAAGTTTAAACTTCTCTAAGTCGGTTGTGGGATAAACCTCTAAGAGATTTCGATTAGACTTGGTGAGACAAATATCAAAATCTTTGAAATTAGTTTATTTCTATAGCAGCAGAAGGCTCCAGACTGTGGTAAGAGTAGTTCTTTGGTTCGATAGTATGTCTTATTTATTAAGTCGAGGTAGGAGAACTAGTTATTTCTTTCTTGGTACAAAAGTTTTACTTTAAACAAGTTCCAAAATTTGACGTCTTACTTGCTTTAGAGTGCTTAGTTAATAATATAATGCATGTATTAATAGGTATTGCAACGTCAATATGTATTACCTGAACTGATTTCGGTTCTCTTGTTTCGTGAACTGGAGCATTATTGGTGAAAGCAAGATAGTGGTAATTATGATACATAAAATGTTTGACAGAAGTACTGGCTGCAACTGAAATGCTCTGTAAACGCTGCCAGCTATCCCCCTGCTGTCCAAATATCTTGCAGAAACCTCTGTAGTAGGGTGGGTCATAATGCCTGGATACAGCCAAGTATAGATTATCCCTCATAATAAATATTGCAATGGAAGTTGTTTCTGTGAACAAAAATATATTTCAGAAATAAATTAATATGATCTGATGTGAAAGGGATGGATCAAGACATTAGTATTATGAAATGCAAATTTTTAACTTTCGTCTGGTATGGGTTCCATATGAAAGTACCCATATGAAGATTATCTGGTATGGGTGCAGCACCAGTTATTGTTTTCTTGTTCTTATAATTTGTTATAGCAGGGGCAATGTCTCAATTTAACACTGATATCTGTTAAACAGCTGGCTTAAAACTGACCAAAAATTGAAATTTTGAGATTAAATTTTTTTTACATACAACCTCTTAATTTATGTTTTCAAATGTGAAAGAATTTGGTTAAAAATTTAAAATTTACCATCAAAACTATATTAATTTTCATATCTTGCTTTAATTTTTGATTTTATAATTTATTATATTTAAAAAAAAACGCACCTTACAATTTTATAGCTGCAATTTATGTCACCGTAGGTAAATCGTGGCATTTGACGATTCAGGAGCCAATCAGGTTCCACACACGCGACGTCGCTTACAGGCATCCTATTGTATACCATTTAAATCACTTTGTGATAGGCATAATCATTTAACTTTTTCTCGAATTCTAAGTACGCAATTCAAAATTCTTTCAATTTCAATAAAAATGTTAAATTTTTTTGGCTAACATGAATAGGTTAAAATTTTTTTTTATTTCTGCAGTTTTTTCTTAAAATAGTGAAGCTCACAGAGAGTGAGATGAAGGAATTCAAGCATTAAACTGCTTCTTTACAAGACATTGGGAGTATCTTCCAGTTTAATTCTACTAAGTATATCATTTTTGACTTAATTCAAATCATTCGGAAAATTTTTTACAAAAGTTTTGGCTTACCGTGGCTTAACTTATCGTTTGACCTAATCAGTTAGCATATTTTTGACGAAACTATCAAACCATTAAAATTACATCTCATTATTACATAGCATTAGGTCAAAATTTGGTCAAGGTTTAACTTTTTTTATTTTGTGCACTGTACACTACACTGATCCATTAGTTTTGCCTTTACCGACATCAATTCGAAAGGTTCAATTCGAATAAATAGAAAGACAATTCTGTGAATACGATTGTGAATTACCTTTTCCAACGTTAACAGGGCCGTATGTTTCAAATTCAATGTTTGGTGTGGCTAAGTTAAATAATCTGTAGAGTTCACACTTTCCTTTGGATGGATACAAGAATCCGATTATGACTTCATTTTGTTTTCTGACAACAAGCGATGCTTCTTTAAATCCATTAGGCAGGCCAGATACTTTTCCGTTAATTAATACTTCTGAATCTGGAAATTAAAACAAAATATTCTAAAGCTACAATTTAAGTTGAGAATATCTGAACAATTTCAATCTTTTCATTTATAAGGTCCTACTAAACTAGTTAACAGGGTGCAGTTATAAGGCAAAATTAGCAGTCACCACTTACCATAGGGTGACTGAATTTTCAGTTAGTCGCTACTGATGGTCACTTTGCATTGCATATGCATTTTATTATTTTTTAATATGGATTAATTGCGAATTATTTCATAATTTGAAAATTGTTTTATAATACACTTGTTAAAATCTTCCTTCGTTTTAGTAATAAATCTTGAAATGCTTCAGAAAAAATGACTTACATTATTAGTATCAACCGTTTTTGAATAGTTTAAAGTGTTCAGTTTTTGAAAATGTGGCCAGATATTTTTAAAAGTGATAACTTAATGCTGCAATTGGTGCCACTGGCCAAATGCGAAATTTCCTAATTTTGATCCACAGCTGCAGGTGCAGGCCGCATGCATTTAAAAATTTAGTCACATATACTTATAAATAAAGTTAAAGCTACTGAACAACTGAAGCAAATAAAAGCTGCCCTTAATGTTTACTTCGCCGAAATTACTTTAATTCAATAACCAGTTAATATTTGAATATTTTTTGCTCCACTTTATTTAAATGTGTTCCACATTTGAACTTACATTCAACCAATTTTTGATTTTCAGGTTGTAATTTTAACCAAACTTGGAAAAAGATTTAAAAAATGCTTATGAAATAAAATTTGGTAACTGAGTTAAACATGACGTATTTCACTGAACCCTCTTTCAAGCATTTCAGTGAATTTCAAAAATTCAACCGAGTAAGAAAATTCAGGACAAATTCTCCGCAAGTAAAAGTAAAAATGGAGGCAATGAAATTTTTTTTGACTAAAGGGATCCCTTAAATACTGGATCTTGGACTGATATTGTAGCCGGTTATGTAGCACAAAATTTTGAATTCAATTTTGAACAAATTGATCATAACTTAAACGAATAATAAACTCTTAAATTATTACACGTTTAAATAACAAACCTTTCTCAAATATCCCAATGTGTACTGAAATCTCAGTTATGCCAACCGTAAGAGTAATGATTCTAGAAATGGACGATTGGAAAGCTGCTCCTGATACAAAACTTCTGGATTGTGGTTCCCAAACATTAGGAACAGCAAGTGCGGTGGATCCTAGGCTGTCTAGAGCAACGAGAGCGACATCACTTGAAGATTTGACGTGAATATAACTTGCAGGATGCTTTAAGTCTTGGTAAAGAAAGAAGCCATTCAACACGTAGTAAGATTCTAAAAATAAGATGACAGGACTTTAGTGTTGTAGTATACCTTTAAACTATGAAGTCGATATATAAAAATATTAGAGATTCAATAAATGTAACATTAATTTTTATTCTTTTGTTAAAATAGAGAAACTAATTTCATTTTCCGAAGCGACCAAATTTTTGTTTAAAATACTGTGTATAGCTTACGATTCTTACGCAAGCATTTATATTGCTTGTATTTTATTTTTGATCTGAATCACGTGGAAACGAAATTTGAAATGGCAGTACGTGACGATAACACTAAGTACTGTGTTGAACCGTTTAGCGGTAAGAACTTTTCTTTATTCAAGCGTCGTGTTGAAGCGATTTTTGCAGCGAAGGAGCTTGATAAATATTTAGAAACTGAAGCTGATGTAACGAAAGATGCTGAAATCAAAGATGCAAAAAAGGCTTACGCTCTACTACTAACCCTTATAGATACTATATTAGCAACCATGGCGACCGAATCATCTGCTTGTCAGATATGGACTAGTTTAAAACAGAAATATTTGAAAATAAGTGCTGTTAGTCAAATCCTAGTTCGAAAGAAACTTGCAACTTTGAAGAAACGCCGAGATTGCAGTATGCAGAAACATATTAACGAACTGTTAGCCATCGTGAACGAATTACGACTATCGGGTGCAGAAGTTAAAGATATGGATGTTGTTATCTACTTATTAATGTCATTACCTGCGGACTACGATGTCATTAAATCAACGATTGAAAATCAGCCAAATGAAACCCTGACGTTGGACTTTGTTATGCAGAGACTTTTGAATGCTGAACAATTGAAATGTGACAAAACTCCTGACAATATTCGTGCTTCTGCTTCAAGTGACAACATCGCTTTCAGCGCTGATAAGCGTGATATTATTTGTCACAAATGCAAAAACAAAGGTCATGTTGCCAGGTTCTGCAAAAGAAAATTAGTTTGCTATGGTTGTGGGCGACCAGGTCATTACAAGAAGGATTGCAGATTTAAACCTAAATCAGATTACAATGAATCTGCTGCAGTAACATTCATGGTTGGTGAGCCTGCTGAGAATTTCATTCTGGACTCTGGAGCATCTACACATATGTGTAATAAAGGTGAGTGGTTTGAAGAAATTAAACCTTTTTCTGGAACTGTTGCATGTGCTTCTAAAAATGAAGTATTAAAGGTAGAAGGTATTGGTACTATACCTGGAACTTTACACGGTGGAAAAATAATTCTAAGAGATGTATTATATGTGCCTGAATTGAATGGTCAATTGATTTCTGTTAAAAATATTCAAGAGGCTGGCTACAGTGTTATTTTCAAGAATGATGTAGCAGTTATTGAAAAAAATAGTGTAAAGTTTGAATTTGCTAGACTTAATGAGAAGGGACAATATGTTAGTCAATTTGAACCTATGAAAGCCTCAACATATGTAGCAAACCACACTGCAGGGTTATGGCACAGACGCCTGGGGCATCCCTCTAACAAAATCTTGAGACAAATGGGTTTGCCAGTTTCTGAGCCAATATCAAGTTTTTGTGAAGAATGTGTTATAGCAAAACATTCCAACACTCCAGTGAGCAAGTGCCCTAGAAGCAGAGAGCATATGCCTATGAGAATGGTTCACACTGATACTTGTGGTCCCATTGATCCACCCACTAGGGAGGGCGAGAAGTATTTTGTTACTATTATTGACGATTGCTCAAGATTTTGTGAAGTTCACCTCCTAAAGCACAAAAGTGATATTGTTGAAGTATTTAAATTGTTCATAAAACAGAATCTCAATCTCTACAAAATCCGTTGTGATAATGCCAAGGAATTTGTATTTGGTGAACTAGCACGTTATTGCAAGAAAAGAGGCGTCATGATAGATCCTGCTCCGCCATATTCACCTCCTTTGAACGGTGTTGCTGAGAGAGCAAACAGGTATCTTTTAGAGAAGGCTCGAGCTCTAATATATGAAGCAAAGCTCCCTAAATCCTATTGGGGTTATGCTGTACAGACAGCTGCCTACCTAAAGAATCGGCTTCCAAACCAGACTGTTGGGGATCTACCTTTCGAGCTGAAATATGGTAAGCAACCTGATTTGAATATTATCAAAGTCTTTGGTTGTGATGCATACATGAGAATTCCTGACAACTTAAGAAAGAAGCTAGATCCCAAATCCAAAAGGATGACTTTTATTGGATATTCCACTATGGGTTATCGTTTATTGGACCCGGTCACAAAACATGTTGTGGTATCTAGAAACGTACGCTTCAATGAAGAGAAGAAGAAATGTATCTCAGTTGAAGATGGTTTTCCCACAGAAGATGAAAATCTTACTAATGAAGAAATAATCCCTGATCAATGTGATGTGGAATCTGAAAGTGATGAAAAAAATAGGCCTAAAAGAAACGTTAAATTGCCTGCAAAATTAGATGATTATTTTGTGTATGAAGCTAATGTGACAACTCTTGACTCTGTATCATTTGAGGATATAGAAACATTGTCGAAAGAAGAGCAAGTCCTATGGAAGAAAGCCATGAATGAGGAAATAGAGTCTCTCAATAAAAATGAAGTGTGGAAGTTAGTTGAATTGCCAAAGGATGCAAAGCCTATGTCCTGTAAATGGGTTTTGCGAATCAAGCGAAATAATGTATACAAAGCTAGGCTGGTTGCCCGTGGCTTTGAACAGAAGCCTGGCATTGATTATTTTGAGACCTATGCTCCTGTGATTAGCATATCATCACTTAGACTTGTGCTGGCAATCATTACTCAAAAGAATCTTGAAATCTATGCATTAGATGTAAAAACTGCATTTCTAAATGGTGATCTTCAAGAGACAATCTACATGGAGCAACCAATGGGTTATAATGATAAAAGTGGTCGTGTGTGCAAGCTTCTTAAAAGTCTTTATGGACTTAAGCAAGCACCCAGGCAATGGTTCAAGCGATTCACTGATTTTATAATTCACTTAAACTTCCAACAGCTAAACTGTGAAGCATGTATTTTTGTGAGAAGATTGGAACAGAGTGAAATATTTATTGTACTGTATGTTGATGACTTACTCATTGCTGGTTCTGATGATTCTGAGGTAAGAGTTGTGATTCAACTACTCAGAAATGAATTTGAAATGTCCAAGGCTGAAATTGCAAATGAATTTCTTGGAATAAATTTAGAATATTCCCACGACAAACTTTATTTAGGCCAAAAAGCTTATGTTGAGAAAATTCTAAACAAATTCAGGATGGTAGATGGTAAACCATCTGATACACCTCTAGTGCCTAAGTCAACTTCATCAAATTTTGTGAGTGGTGAAAAATTTCATGGTCCCTATCGTGAACTTGTTGGTGCTTTACTTTACTTATCAATGACAACCCGCCCTGATATTTTATACTCAGTGAACTGTCTAAGCCAGATTCAAGAGCAGCCCACCAATAGTGCTTGGGCTGGTCTGAAGAGAGTCCTGCGGTATTTGAAAGGGACATCTGAACTCAAATTATTATTTTGTAAATCTGATACTGATAATGTTATTGATGTTTATGTTGATGCTGATTGGGGGGCAGATACACATGATAGAAAATCTATTTCCGGGTATGTAATTTTCTTTAATGATTGTCCTGTGATTTGGTCTGTCAAAAAGCAAACATCTATTGCTCTGTCCTCTACTGAGGCAGAGATTTTGGCTTTAGCAAAAGCTATTCAGGATCTAATTATACTCTATAATATAACGAAGGAAATTTTAGGGATTGATAAGATTAAAGTTTCAGTATATGAAGATAACCAGTCTGCAATTAAAGCCATTTTAAATGAAAATAACTGTGCTAGATTGAAGCACTTAGACATTAAATTGAAATATGTTAGGGACATCATAAAATTGTATAATGTGAATCTTGTCTATGTACCCACTGAAAATCAATTAGCTGATATGTTTACAAAATGTTTACCCAAACCTAGGTTGTGCTATTTAAGAGTTAAATGCAAATTAATGTGTGATTAAGGGAGGCTGTTGAGAATAATCACACTCCCTAGTTTATTCTTATATTACTTTTATGGCAACTACGTATTTTCTATTGTATAGTTGGCAACGCTTGCTTGAGCGTCGTTAGTAAACAATATGTGTTAAGTGTATCAGTCATGTGTATGTTTCAGTCTTTTCTATATTAATTAAACTCACTTCTTTGTTTACTGGCCTCTGAAGTTGTTTATTTATCTTAACACTCTCTCCAAACTTCCACACCACAATCAACGAGGACTTTCAGCCACTATAGATTTAACGTGTACCTCGCTGTGTTTTTCTCCTAGTTTATTCAGCTGCCAGGATCGAACTCAGACCATCAGCTCTCCACCATTTGTGTGAGTGATGCCTTAGTTGACTACGTTAAATATTACGCTTCAAATATTCCCTTAGATATCAAAATTTCTATCATGAAAATTTTTTTAAAAATAAAAATGGATTGTAATAAAAATGATTCATATGATGAAAGTCCATTAGTGATCAACTTTAAAGACTGATACACTACATTTAGATTTAACAAAAATAAAGTTTCTTTTCACTTCATTTTATCGAAAAGCTCAGAGTGAGACATCGTGTCAAAGTGAATCTGAACTTTGAGAAATTATACAGAATTGAGTAACATAGTGTACAATCAAATTTTCAAATTTCAACCTCATTTTTTAAAAAGCCTATTTCTTAAACTAGTCCTATCGTCAGACGAAATTTCTTTTGCTATTATGATACTACGTATATAATAGTTAGGTAATATAACTAGGTAATATAACAATGTAGCGTAGCAGTTTCAATATAAATAAATGGTTTTTGTAAGATAAAAAATATCATCTTTCACGTAAGAAATGAACTTTTCAACCTCAAACACTTAAAAAAAAATTTAAAAAAAAAGGTTTGCATTATGTCTGAAATATGGATGGGTCGAGGTTTAGCAAATTTTCGGTAAAATTTCATTAAAATTTTTAATATGAGTATGAAAAATAGATTTTTTAATCTATTTTTTGTGGAAATATTAAAGTTTAATAAAAGTTATGTAAAATCGGATAAATATTGTGACAAACTACTAGGGGAGTTTGTGGGTATGTCATTAGGATAAAAATTGCATAGGATCCCATGACCGGAAATGACGTACGTAGGTAGGGGTGCTTCCCCCGCAATGACCAGTTCAGAAACACGTGATGAAACAGTTTGTAATTGGAAAGCACCCCTACCGGCGCATGAAGACACTTACGGGCATAGGTTACTATGAAATTTTAATCCTAATGATGTGCCCTAACTTTCCTAGAAGTTAGACGCAACATTTACGCTACCCTCTGCTATATATAACTTTTTTAAACTAGTAGATTTTGACAAATAGATTAAAATGCCATTAAAAAAACTAGCTTGGAGAGAGAAATTATTGCAGAATTGAAATCGGCAATGATCATCCAAGATAGCTTAAAATTTTGTAATCCAATGTAATCATCCATTTAAATTCCTTGAATTTAAAAACAAGAGGTAAAAAAATTTTTTTTTTGCCCGTATTTAGAACATTTAAGAATTTTTTTCCCTTGTGTGAAATTTAGAGAACTACTGAGACTGAGTAAATCAATTTTATTCCCCTCAAAAATTGGGCCCCTGAGATGGTCATGTCTTCCCACATATTTAACACTTTGGAATTCGCTTCTTTAGGGGTAATATTTTCCATAAAATACTTAAAGTTTCATCAAAAGTAAATATTAAAGTAAACAAAAATTAATCAAAAGTAAAAATGGAGATTTTTGAAATTTTTTTGGTTTGACTAATTGAACTACGTTTTCTAGTGCCTACCCTCTTAGTTTAAGAATTGAGAATTCGAATCCAAGGAAGCTGTTAGTTATCTATTGAAGTATGTTTATATGTTCAATTTCCTTACATAACATTAATACTTAAAGAGCGCATTTGAACCATTAGAATTGTATGGTATTGCGCGGAAATCCTAGCATTGAGTCAAAAATTATCAATTGTGTATTTTTCATTTCACGCATACGTCTTATTTATGTGGGCCCCAGTTTATTCCAATTTTTTTTTTCACAAAATTTAATGATATGATTTATGTAAATATTTGATATATTATTGATGTCTAGCTTATAATCTGAAAAAAAAAAATCGAAAAGGATGAAGGAAAAATAATTTTCGATACTGCTAATTAGGTTTTAAAAAATACTTACTCGAAAGAACTTTTTGAAGGTATTGTAGCATTTCGCAATTATCTTTGGAGTGTTTTTCAATGGCTGTCAATGAATGAGAAGCATCGACCCAGAATTTGCTGACATTGCGATCAAATGCAACAAGATCCAATCCATTAACTGTTCCCGCCACTTTCACATCAGATGTCGAAGCAGCTTCGTAGAAATAAAACGATCCATCTATGGTTTGATCAGTGTCCAAGTACACTGATTCTTTAGCCAGCTGAGTCAGATTCACCCCATCGATTAAACCTATAAATTTCAAAAGCTAGCTTTTAAGTAATCTATTTATGGTACCAAAACAATTATAAGAAAATGATATTGAAAAAGAATGAAGTGATGGAAACAAACTTTCACAAGGGGGAATAAATGATAGTAGAAAAGGTGAATTGCTGGTAGCAATTCCGAATTTACATCACACAAGCTATGCATTTAACTCCTTTCAACGCTATTGGAACTATCAAAGATTTGTTTCAGAGCAGAAACTTTACTTTGAAAAAGGCGTGACCTTTTCAAGCCTTGCAGCTTATCCCCATGATGTAAACATTTTCACTCTTTTCATTATTTTGTATTATTTTGATCTAAATTAAATGATTATATTTAGCATTTCAAAAATTCATGGTTATGAAATAAAGCAGGAAACACCCTTTTACTGCATTAAAGGTAAAATATTCTAAACACTGCTCACACCCAAATAATAATTTTTCAAATTTAACTTATTGTAGTTATTTAGATCAAAAAGAAACAATTCATCATTGAAATATCTTTAATTTACAATATCAATTTATAATTTTTTGAATATGAAAAAAAATTTCCAACTCTTTTTAAAAATTCAAAAGATTAAGACAAACAGGAAAGTTAATTTTAGATTATCTAAATACATTTAGTAAACGTCCGACAATATTTAAAATTTTAATAAAATAAAAAATTTAGTGATTGAAAAGATTCAAAAACAGCATTTTATGTTACAGAGATTAGCTATCTATGAATGTCTACTTATTACTAAAAAACAAGGTACTTCAAGATATCAGACTTCACTATTCTAAAATTTATCCTCAGTCGTCACCCATACAGGCACACATCCTTTATCTGCTAATCTTTAGTTCCTGCTATCACTGACAAACAATTCTTCAAATTCCATACATCAGGTATACTATTTCAAGTTCAAATACAGGAAAGCATAATTAATAGAAAGTCATACTAATATGAGGTCAACATGTAAAAGCAAGTCAATTTTAGAAATCTTAGTTTAAATTGCTCAAGGCAACGTAGTGTTTCAATCCGTAGCAAGAATCACAAAACAATGTGAAAAACAGAAAAAAACGACTTTAATTAAAAAAAAAAAATCGCCTTAAAAAAACATTTAACAAATGCCAAAAACCAAATGGACCATATTGTTTTAAAATATGGCATTCTTGGACAAACACATGAAACTGAACTAAAGTCTAAATTTTTTATATATTTCCATTGATGGCCCAACATAATCTTGATTTTAACCATCAATAATTCCATCATAAACCATTATATTTTTGACGGTAACCATCTAGATGTAGAATTTCGGACTCATTTATGTTGGTCCAACATAACAGCAGCTTGTTTTGATGGTTTGCTCATATTAAACCATCAGAAATTCCTATCCTAGTTCTTAGAAATCATTGGAACGATTATGAACCATCATCACCCTAAAGTAGGAATTCGGACTGACTTATGAGAGTCCAACATAGAAAAGAAATCAAATTGTTTTGATGATATACTCCTGAGAATCGACAAGAATTCCTATTAAACCATCATGAAAAAGTATAGTTAGAACCACCATGGACCATCACGGATCATCAAGGATTGATGGTTCATGACAATCAAACTTCTCTATGGTTTACAATAGTATTAAGGTCGCATTTTCCATCACGGAATAATGAAGTTTGTTGGCATATCAAAATCCATGAAAGCATGATGTAAAAATGTAGGATGATTGTAACCATCAAACCATGCTTAACCACCATAAATTGCACTGAAACCAACATAAATCATAAAACTTTTTTTATGGAACCATCTAAATTTTTTGATCGGAATACAGCAATAGGCTTAATATGATCAGAATTCCTTGTTTTAAGCTACATTATAAACAAGCGATATTAGATTGGGCCCGCAAATACATGTCATGAATGAGATTAATGAGAAATTCGGTGATGAAGAAAACAGTCATTTAGCTATACAGTGAGACCTGTTTTTGTGTGGTCCTTTTTTATGCGATTCTGTTTTTGTGCGATTGGTTTCATGCGATTTTATTTTTGTGCGATTTTTTTTGTGCGAATTATTTTTATGCGGTATATGAATCTTTACGGCGTTAGCACCAGTTTAACGTTTCCTATCAATGTGCATATGCATGTTGTGGACGCACTCTGATTACGTGGTCTCCTTGACAACGATGTATCTGAACTTCGCGATGCTCTGTTAGTAGCCCTTAATTCTCACATTGGATCTGAATGAGACTGGACCATTCCATTTATTTCAAAGGTGGGGAAAGTAGAATTAACTGCGCATCATTTCGGCGCAGGAACTATACAGTGAATCCGATTGCAATATCTTCTTTGAAGACACATAAGCTCCTATTCTTTCTGCAAGCAGATTTTTAAAATGAAAACTATGGCACCATTTACCAATTTGGATTTATATATACATTAACTTACATTTCTAATAAGTTTTAAATTAATCGGATGTTTTTAAAGATAATATTTTTTACACTCTGATTACATTTTTTTAAATCGTAACTAATTTCATATAGTGTCTGAAATATTTTTTTATATCTCTTTATGTATTTTTATGAAGTTGAGGTAAGAAAATTTAAGTAAAATCTAGAAAGATTAATCATAGTATAGAATTGCCCTGCCCGGTATACATTTGCCCGGTATACACTACACTGATGCTTTTTTAAGGTCAAGGGCCACTGCCCGGTATACATTTGCCCGGTATACCCTACACTGTTTTTTTAAGGTCAAGGGCCACTGCCCGGTATATATTTGCCCGGTATACTCTACACTGATGTTTTTTTAAGGTCAAGGGCCACTGCCCGGTATACATTTGCCCGGGATACCCTACACTGATGTTTCTTCTAATCTATCGTCAGTAAGTATTAAAATATCGAATAAATGTAATTATATCCACGAATAAATTAATATCAAATCGGATGTAATAAATATTTTGGACATTCACCAAAGCGACTATGTGAATGTCAACAACCACCGATTTCGGTCATTCACAGTAACATGCACATCATTCACATAACCTCATCAGGACGTTTATTTCATACTCTGCCTAAATAACATCTGACATTATATATAATGCCTAGGCAATGTGTGAAATATTAATCATTTCATACTTTGCCGGCTAGTTTTAGGCATTATATATAATACCGGATATCATACTTTGTCGGTAACAGATATAAAAATTGATTAAAAAAAAAGCATAAGTACAACACTTTAAAAAAATACTACGAAAAATACCACACCCCTATTTTAAGTCAAACAATACTTGCCATTCATATTATTGAAAATACTACGTATGAAAGTAAATTCTACTTTCCCCACCTTTGAAATAAATGGAATGATCCAGTCTCATTCAGATCCAATGTGGGAATCAAGGGCTAGTTAAAATTTATTCTGCGCTAAACAAGTTGAAGTAAATCAGTAAAAAATCGTTTGCTGTGTTAAAATACTTATTTTAAAATTAAACCGTTATTTTTATTTTGTAAATTCTCGTCTGCGTGTATCTCAAATACTATTCGCGATCGCAACGCTCGAGTACGCCGTCTAGCGGGAGCCTGTAAATATCGGACATTAACTTAATACAATCACATTTTCTGCCATCAAAGTCATTGACTGAATCAGACGCCATTTTTTAGCAGCAAATAAGAAACAAAATTTCCCTAAGGAAAAGGCCGAAGAACTTGAAAAAAATCTCCAGAATATTAGTAAATCTTTCAGGAACAGAACACGCCAAACATTTGAAGAAAAATTCCT